AAATAACTATGGGATGGCAGCTAGAGAGATTGATAGACTATGTATATAAATGCTGGAGTCTCATACATGCAGGTAGAAACAGGACACAAGCAAGATTCTTTGGAACCCTATGTGTGGTTGGGCTGGAATACAGCGCCTCAGGACCTGAGATCCCACCTGATGCCTCTTCCAGGCCGCACTACATATGCCACCAAAATAGCCAGATAAACCGCCTGCAGCTTCTGTATGGTGGATCAGTTTGGTGAGAGTTGCGGTAGGATTCAGTATAGGTTGTTTGCAGAGAAAGTATAGGCGATATTATCCCTAATATTAGGGAATCGACAAGGAGCTGTCTCACTACATGTCCATACTGCAGGAAAGGGGTATCGTTTGGGGTGGAGTTGGGGTTGGGAGTATGGTTAGGGTTGGGGTTAGTGGTAGGGTTAGGGGCTAGGGTAGGTGAATTTCATTTCCACCATATGGCTATATTGTATTATTGTATTCACAGTACCCCAATATCAGTGGGACCTACACTAATTCCAATGTGGGAGACAAATTAAATAGTACTAAATAAGCTAAACTGTATTTTAATAATTTATTGTAAGACCATAGTGAATATATATAATGCAAAATGATGGGATAAAAAAGGCAATTCAAAAAAGTGCAGTATCAAAACTAAACATTAAAGTGCTTTTATGTACATATTCACAATGCATATCATATATATGCTCTATGCCATATAAAAATTATAATTAAAGTGATATGACAATTGTCTATTGATCATCATGACAGATAATGAGAAATTGTAGAATGTGGCAGCAAAAGCTCTGCCCAATGCCAGATTTTGCTAAATATTGTCTTACCTTATATAAAGAAGTATATTGTAATTCTTGCACAGTGAATGAGCTTACAAAATGCTCAAACACGAGCATATATGAGTGTCTAAGCAGATTCATGTAGCAGGAATTCTAGCCTAGCAAGTCCAATATATGTAGCAAAGCAGGTAAATCATTTATATCAAAGTGGATAGCAAAGCAGATTTGCCCAGATATCAATGCAAGTTTCAGGTAGTCAATGATCTATAACAACATAATGAATATTCAATATCTTGCGAGATATTTACCCAGCTCTGTGCATGCTGGGAAATGTATTGATTCCCTGATTCCATGAACAAGTTACTTGACTTAAAGTCCTAATAAAGAATTAACAGAGAACTAATTTGAGTGTTCTGGTCACAAAGGACAAAAGCAAATAGCAGGAGTCAAGGAATGTTAAGCATAATGAATAGAACGTATTAATACAATACAAAAAGGTCAATGACTGGCAGCAAGTTAAAAAAAAAGTTTGGTATTAAAGAAATTGTAAATGGGTAAAAGAAGCAAAATTGGAGTTATGGAGCTATTCAATGGTTAATACACTGGAGAGCGTGTCCAGTTTGATTGTGTTGTAGTATTTTAACTTGTATTATGTATTTGAAGTGGTCCTTTAACTGCTTAAGAATGTAGAATTTGAGCTATATGATTGTTCAACTATACATTTACCTTTTTCATATTACGTGAACCCACACATAATATATGAAGTGCTGATGGTGGACACCATCAGCACTTCAGCCCCTAGCCTCCGCAGCTTGGCCAGGGTCTCGCCGTTGTTTCCCACCCTGGATCAGGGTCCTGGATCCAGCTTCCAGTGGTCAAAGCTCTCCATCCAGGCAGGTATCGTCTCCTCTGCCTATACCGCTGCAGCCTTTCTCACAGGCAGGTATCGTCCCCTCTGCCGACAGTGATTATAGTTATTGCCTTCACAAAGGAAATTTGCTATATCTGGACAAGTGAGGTGGCAACTTTTTTATACTAGGTCTTTGTTTTACAACGAACTAGATATGGCTGAACACACTGGTCAGACAAAGCTACTCACCCCATATGCTTGTTGAATTCTCAATTTGTGCATTGCTTCTGTGGACTGACACTGGCATTGTGCTCTCATGATGAAGTGTGGACATGTACATTCTATCTGTGTACCTAAGGACCAGTACCTCAACATTTCGCAAAGCAGTTGTTGTGTCTTTGCGTTTTTTGTCAGTGGTCAGCTTCTGAAGGATAGCTTTCTGGATCTTCCGCATTGTGCCACTGTCTGGTGTATCATAATAAAATATTTTTTTTTAAATATATCTATGGAAGTATAAAAAATTATCTAGCCATAGGTGATATCCTTTATTCATTAATGGGAATAGGAGATCCCACACAATTTTTCTGTTTTTTCAGATTCAGGGTTGCCTGTTGGTTCTTGTTGACTGTCTTTTCCTGCATAAATACAAAATGTCCAAGTATACCCAGTGTTGCATTCGCACAACTTATAAAATGTTATTCCACAGCAAGAATGCTTTGATGGAATGTACTGCTTGAAAGTAAATCTTCCCTTGAATTTCAAATGGGACTCGTCTATGCAGTTATTTTGGTCAGGGATGTAATTTTCTGAAAAGGTTTTTGATAAGTGATCAATTAGGGGCCTAATTTTGTGTAGACGTTCATACTTGGGGACATTTCTAGGTGTTGTCACTGAAATGGAGGGAAAGGAGAAGCTGTCCATGCCTATTCATCTTCATAATCCCCGGGAAAAGACTGGGATTATACTAGGATCGGGTGCTTATGCCAGTATGTCCTAATTCTGTTTTTTCACAACCCCTTTTTCTATCATCACTTAAAACCTCCTAATTTTATTGTGGTCAGTGGGATGCAACATATTCTTCCTGCTGTAGTGAGATTCGGGATTGGCAGTGAGATACTGGCTGGCACACAAATTAGTTTGTGCAGCTATAAACTCAAACATGCCATCTGTCATAAACAGGTTAAAATAATTTTCAGAATTTTGGTTATCAGAAATAATTTTAATCTGTTGTGCCAGGGATGCCGCAAATAGGGGTATTTTAGGGTCACTTAAATTTGGTGGTACCCAGTATGATCAGACACAGTGCAGCGGTTTGAGTGCCTTCTGATAGATGGTATTACAGTCACCAGAAGGCTCGCATAGGGGCTCTACAACTGATGCAGTAAGTGTCTCACTGTCAGATGGGTCAAAGGAGTCACTCTCTAACTCATTAGTCAACATGGCATAAGCCTCCTCCGATGTGCAATAATGGGCCATGGTGACATTTTTATTTTCATTATTTTTTTCCATACCTGCCTAACACACAGACTTAATGACTGATCACAGTATAAGACGCTGTGTTCAGCACTAAAAGGGTTATTATATTTTTAATAAACTGAAGTGGGGTAAAAATAAAGTTTGGTTAGATAAAATGCTCTGATATACTATACATTGATCAGAACACAGGGAGGAGTTAACAGAAACTATAAAGGGTTAAATTAGGAGAAAAGGTTCAAATTTAAACAAAAAAAATACAATAATCTTATTGTCTCTCTCACCTCAGATCAATGTGTGGGAAGAGAGGCAGAATACAATGTAACATCCCATGATACATATCTTTGGCTATAACAGCCTGCCACCGCAATTATGTGACTTCGATCGCAACTGATTGGCTGCTGGGTGACTCCCTAGGTTGGTTGCAGGTGGACTGCCAGGGTACCAAACCAGAACCAGCAAAAAGTGAATGCTGGTTGGGGGGCTGCGGGAGCACAGACATTATGACGTGTTTTGTCTCCCTAACGTCGTTAAAGCCAATGCCATTCAGGATGTTATGCCAAGTCCTGATCATGGGAATGGGCTAAAAACAGTATAGCATTTTTTAGCAGAACTTCTCAACTAAAACAAGTCAGCAGATTTGGTTCCCCACAGATTTCTACAACATACAGGACTTATACTCCAGTTTAGGAAAAGGCTGAGCCACATCACTTCCCAAAACAACAACAAAGGAAGACATTTCTATTGGACATATCACCTCGTTCCTACTAACACTGCATTTTCTCTTCCTCTGCAATCTTCCTGGAAATTCACTTCCTTCCTTTTCTCCCAATAACTTTTATACAGTCTGTTTTTGTCCCAAGCACATAGCAGTAATGTCCAAATTACCAGTCAAAACATATTGTACATTAATGATGAATACTTCTGTTAATAATATTTTTTTCTCCTTTCTATTGTTTTTTGCCTTTTCTATTCTTTTTTCAACCAGGACAAAAGTTTGCTTTCTTACAGAAATAATTTTTCTTCTTTATTTGCAGGTTAATAGAGCTTCTACCGTTTGTGAAAATCAACAACTATTGGGGTATTGTAAGCAAGTGCCTCGCGTACAGTAAAGCTGCAGCAGACCCTTTTGTATATTCTCTCCTTCGCAAACAATACAAAAAAGTTTTACTCAACATTGTCAACAGAATATTAAAAAGAGAACTCTATCCTTCTTCAGGATACACCAGCTCACTTGATACAGAAAATGACTATTGTATGAACAGGGCAAATTAAAGACATGTCAAAATATATCATTGTGCCAGTAACCCAATTTACACAGTGTATTTTATTCATAATATACATTAAAAACATTTAGAAGAAAACCAAAGTTTGTATGTATTAGGTTTTTTTTTTGTTTGTTTTTTTTTTAAATATTGTTTTGTATTATTACAGCAGTATAATTTCCATTACACAACAATTGTTGTTTTTTTTTAATTCCATGGTCTAACATATTTTCTATTTTTTAATCAGTGTTGCTCGGGCAGCTGTTACCATATACAATATTATATTTATATGTATCAAAGTAAAATGTTATACTGTACATTAAAGATATTGTATACTACTACATAGAGAGAAAAAAATCAAAAAGTATAAAGAGAAGCGACAGCATTGTTTTTTTAAATGTTTTGTACAAAGTGTACTGTATAATATACATAGAGAGATAATTTTATGTAATTTACTTAATAGTGAACTGCAGTGAACTGACATATGACTTATAAAATTCAGAAAAAAAAAACAAGGTGAATAAACCTGACTATAATTGAGCTATATTTTGCAAGATATCTGTTATGCATAGACCATTATTATGTGTTTTGTTTGTTTTTTGTTTTGTTTTTAGAGATGTAAACTTTTGCAGCAATAAATAATTTAGTTAGCTTTTTTTAATTAATTTATTTTTTGGATTTTTTACATTTTAAGCACTAAATTAAATTTGAACATATTAGAACTTTACATTGTTCTTACTGTCAAGCTCCATAATTGCATTCATTGTAAACTCCAAAGTCGTTAAATCTGAAATCATTCTGAATGTATTTATGAACTCACTGGTATATGTTCACTAAATCTGTATAGCACTGTATTTAAAATAGGAATTTTTGTACCGTATAACAAAGCATTCCTTTATTAGATGTATTATTTTGCACTATTCTATAGATAAATTTGTAATATAATTTTTATTTTGAATAAAAAAAAGGAGGACAACACATTTAACCCTTGCTAGAACCTAATCATACAAATGAAAAACTGTCTTAAATTCAATGGAGGAGAAAACATAACAATTTTGCAGGGCACAAAAAAAAAAAAAAAAAAATATAATAAAATATATAAAAATATTTATAGATATATATGGAAGCGTTATAACGTGTGAATCCATTTTAGATTACGATGTTTTGTGCCATATGGATTTTGATAAACTTTGTCACAGAAAATCTACAATTCAGTTATGTGATGTATTTATTAGCTACGTTGCGTAGTGTCAATACCGAACTATCATTTTATAAATACTGTAATTGTAGTTTTGGTGATAATATTGTACTTTCAATTATATAGAGTAATAAAAATGATCAAAATTCTTTTAATGTTTTGGTAGGTGTTTTTCTTTCCAGTGTATATATTTTGTAATAGTTTTTAGGGCGGAGGAACATGTTGATTTAACACTTATAGACTTTTTTCTATACTCTTCTGACTAGATGTTTTAGAACACATCAAATTTTTTTAAATTAAAATGTATGCAATGTTACAAAGGTAAGCCGCAAACTACCAGTGGTTAGAAAACCAGTTTAAGATTACCAAAACCTATAAAATGTTCATTTCATTGTTGTAAACAAAGTATTTTGTTCATCGAGCAAGTAATGGGTTATCAACTTACAGCTGTTTTGTATCACTGGAAGAAAATTAGGCCTTGAACGTTGATGCTTTCTCTACAGGTGTCCCAACTTTTGTTGATTGCTTACAGACCTAAAAGAAGAAGAGTAAGCGCTAATTAACACAGAGGCAGCAACCCTGGAAAAGGAGATCCCTCAAACCCTTTCAGATACAAAACAAATGAAAAAAAAGAAGATAAGGGCTGTGCCAAATCTTACATTGGGCGATAGAAACAGTTATCACAGACAGAAAAGTCCACGTTTGCAATAAATAATATTAGAAAAGTCCAAAAGGAAGGATCTCACTCAAATTCAATAGTGAGTTGCATGCTTGGTTGTGAATAATATCCCCAGTTTCTTTGTCCAAGTATGTCCATTTTTATGAAAGACATAAAATAGAGGGAACCAATAGTGCAATACTTACAGTCCAATAAATAAACTATATGGATGAGAATGGTAATACACTCACATTTGTAGGAGTTTATAAATAGCTCTAACATGAAGGGCGTACAGCGGTATAATCCCCGCTTATGGGATATATAGTAGATGTCTTTCATCAAGGGTATATCCAACACTTGGAGAAGGAATAAAAAGAGACAACTGATTGTACTCACTGAGTAAAATATAATATCCTCAGGTGCTAGATGCATAAACAGAAATAAAATTAATTTAATCCCTAAATGGCAGAGAATTGAGCGGTGAGATGGCAAAGCCGCTTCATTAACCCCTTAAGGACGGCGGGTGTTCTATGCCGTCCTTGGGGACCTGGCTCTAAACGCCGGCGGGCGGCATAGAATGCCCAAGCCGTCCTATGTACTTACCTGGTCGCTGGCAATCCCACACCGGCGATCGCGGTGTTGGGACTCACCTGGGAGCCCAGGTGAGTTCCCCTCCTTCCTCTTGGGCCATGTGATCGCGAGGTCCTTGCAAGGACTTCATAAAATAAAAGTTAAAGATACAGTTTAAAATAAAATATATACTTAGATCCAATATATATATTATATATAGGATCTAAGTATATATATTATATATAGGATCTAAGTATATATATATATATATATGTATATATATATATATATATATAAATAAATATATATTAATATCAAAACACACGTACAATGATATTGATTATATATATATTTAGTTTTCATTATATATATATATTTATATATATATATATATATATATGTATATATATATAAAATATAAAATAAATAAATATGTAAATACATTAAAAAATAAAATAAAAAATAATATATATATATATATATATGTATAAATTCATTCTAACTGTATTTTAAAATTAATATATAAACATTGATATCAAAATACATGTAGAATGAAATAATATATATATATATATATCTATCTACACAAGTATATACGTATATATCACGATATATATACCTATATATAAATAAAAATAATTTGAAAAAAATTATTTATATATATATATATATATATGTATAGCCAAAAGTACAAGATAGCACTCCAGGGACTTCCAAGTTGAATGAATAAAACTTAGCTTTTATTAGCTCAAAATAAAAATCAACGTTTCAGTCTGTATCACAGACTTTCATCAGGATGTTTGCTGATGAAAGTCTGTATCTGTTTGCTGATAAGCACCGGGCAAGTACATCAAGGAAGGCGGAGTGCATTACTATTTTTGTTTTATATATATGTATATATATAATAATTCTACGTATATATTTATGTAATAATTTTACATAATTAGGTCATTTTATTCATTACAATTTGCGGGACCTGCCTGATAACCCAGTCCGAAAGTCCTGGGAATTTAATTTGCTAGCACTATATTTAACCCTGTAACTTTCCAAGACACCATAAAACTTGTACATGGGGGGTACTGTTTTACATGGAAGACTTTGCTGAACACAAATATTAGTGTTTCAAAAGAGTAAAATTTATTACAACGACGATATCGTCAGCGAAAGTGAAATTTTTTGCATTTTTCACACACAAATGATATAATTGTTGTGATGCATTTTACTGTTTTGAAACATTAATATTTGTGTTCAGCAAAGTCAAAGTATAACAGTACATGTTGAGGTTTTATGGTGTTTTCAAAAGTTACAGAGTCAAATATAAGGCTTGTGTTTGCCAAAGTTGGTTATGTTGCCTTTGAGACCGTACGGTAGTACAGGAATGAAAATTACCCCCATGATGGCATACTATTTGCAATAGTAGACAACCCAAGGTATTACAAATGGGGTATGTCCAGTCTTTTTTAGTGGCCACTTAGTGACAAACACTGGCCAAAATTGGCGTTCAAATTTTTTTTGCATTATTCGCACACAAACAAATATTAACACTAACTTTGGCCAGTGTTTGTAACCAAGTAGCTACAAAAAAGACTGGACATACCCCATTTGCAATACCTTGGGTTGTCTACTTTTGCAAATGGTATGCCATCATGGGAGTAATTCTTATTCCTGGGCTACCATACAGTCTCAAAGGCAATGTAACCAATCTGGCGAATTTCAATATGAAAAAACTGAAAAATGTAACATGCTATATTTGACCCTGTAACTTCCCAAAACACCATAAAACCTGTACATAGGGGTTACTATTTTACACGTGAGACATCGCTGAATACAAATATGTGTATTTTATTGCAGTAAAAGCAAAAAGTATTATGACATTCACAGCTAAAATGTCACATAGAACTAAAATTTCTTTAAAAAGTCTTATTTTCTCCCATTTTTTTATATTTTATTCATTAGTTATGTTTCATATATAAATATTTGATGTTAAATGAAAGTCCTGTTTCCCCTGAATAAAATGATATATAATAAGTGTGCACATAATATGAAAGGGGCGAATTACGCCTGAACAGACATGTAGTCCAAATTCAAGTTTTTGTTTACGTTTTGTTTTGATCACAACGTGTACATTTGGCTCAGTCCTTAAGGGGTTAAGTGAAAGTTTTTTTGTTGCCTATAGTAACCCTTTGCCTTAATTAACCATGCTGAAACCTTCCAGTAAAACAACACTTTTATCAATCCTTCTAAAAAAAAAATGCCAAAGGGGGACAAGAATACAACGAAAATCCTCCACCCAACCTTTTGTGTATAGATGCACGTGATCATAGGATCCCCTTATGATATGATGGAAGTGTTGGATTTGACCAGACATGCCAAAATGATCAACAAGAGAAATAAATCTCAATTAACATTAGTTCTATTTTTTCATAGAAATAGGAAATACATTTTGGAATTACAAAATGGAAAGATACATTGAAGTGTTTATTGAAACAGTTATTAGTAGCAATATGTTTTTTTTAAAATAGAAAGCTATCATTGGACAAATGTGCTGCAGAACAGATTACTCCCCCATGACATGTAGAATGAAGAATAAGAGATAACATATCAAATAGGAGATATTTGAGATATTAAATAGGAGAAATGCATTAAGTGAACATCTTTTCCATAAACATGTAATACAAAATAATGACTTACAGGATGGGGTATATTTCAATCCCTGGCTCGATGTTTCACATATTTTTGCAATTGTTTAAAGCTTATTTACTTCAAGGTCACATGTTTTTACAATTTGTTGATGTGGAAAAGAGGAAAATACCCATTAGGTTTAATGATTCTCAGATGCTGAAGTCAAAAAGGCATGCTGTGTATCATCTGACTCATTCTACTCGTTCAGCACTTTCTTATGATTTTTAAAACAAACCTCAAAAATGCATTAAAGAGTTATTCCATTATATCAAAACATTTACAAATACAGAGGCAGAAGTGACACGTTTTTCAACACTCCTTGTCTGGGTGAAGATGAAACGAAGAAGCAGAAGAACAACATCAAAACAGTCGAGGAAAAAAACAGAAAAATAACGTCTCTTTGTAAAGATGGCATTAAAGAAATGTGGGGTTCTTTAAATACTGAAGATTGGTCTATGAAATAATTGGTTTGCCTGAAATAACGTCACACGAAGGGACCATTTTCCAATTTTTACATTCCTGTTAGTGAGTAGCAGCTGTTAACTGATATCAAACAGGGAGTTACTAACTACCTCTACTGAAAGCCTGTCACTGAATAGCACCCAACATTGTCCAATATTCTCTATGGCATTGATTCACATCCTTTTTCACTTGAGTACCCACTGGCAGGCCATCTCCATAAACTGAACCCTTCATAGTAGCAAAATATTTGAAATGAATATAGTTGCTGTTATTTCAACTT